GAAATTTAAAAAGTAGAAACCAGGGGTTTGGGGGGGTTTTCAGGAAAAAAAAGGGGGGAGGAATTAAAGTAGAGGGGGAAAAGAATTTTTTTGGATGGGGCATTTTTAAAAAAATTTTAAATAAGGTTAAGGGTACAAGGCAGCTTTTCCTTTTTAAAAAAACAAAGGGGAAAAAAAATCTTTAGGATGGTTGATCCGGAAAGTTGGGGGAAAAATTTAGAGTAAAAGGTAAACAGAAAGGGTTTAAAAAGGGGGTGGGACCCTTTTACAGAAACATTGAAAGATTTTAACAAATTTATTATTATTTAATAAAACCAAAACCCAGATTCCCCTGGGGGGGGTTAAGCACCCCCAATTTTATACGAACCAATCCCTTCCCTTTCAAAACCCCTCACCCCAAAAACCTTTGGGCATAACAAAGGCTTTGGGGAATTAAAACTAGACATATACAATTCAAGTTCCCAAAATTTGGATAGTTACAAACAAGATTTTTTACAGTAGGGGAATTGAAGTGGAAAGAGAAACCCCTAAAAGTGAACAAATTTTTGAGGGGTTTTAATTTTTTTATTTTTTAAAAAAAAAATCCAAGGGGGAAAAGTAAAAAAAACCCAAAGGATTTACACCCTTTTTGGGGGGGGGATTGAAGGGGTTCAGGTTTTAATTTTAGGGGGAAAAAAAAAAGGAAACAGAAATTTTAATCAAAAAAAAGTAAAAAAAAGGAATTCTTGGGGGAAGATAAGGAAAAGAAGGGGGGGCTTGGGCAAAATTTTGGGGAAAAAATTTGGGGGAAAAAAGGGGTGGGGACAGGGTGGGGAAATTTTTTTTTTTTGGGGGAAAGTTGGGAAAATTTTCCAATTTATTGGGGGTATGGGGGGGAGGAGAAAGGCTGAGGGGAGTGAGAGTTTTAAATGTGGTTAATTAAGAGAAAGAGGAAGTTTTCCCATTTAAAAACTTTAGACAAGGGGGTGGGGTTGGACGTGGGGGTTTTTTAAATATATAGAAGGGGTTGGTAAAAGAGAGGGAAATTTTTTCGAGGGCTTGCCCCCAAGAGCGGGGGTTTTTTAAAATAAAGAAATTTTTTTACACGTGGGGAGTTGGGCAAGTCTTTTGGATGAAACCCCGCCGGGGGAATCCGAAGAAAAATTCATGAAAGGGGGTTAATTTATTTAAAAAAGAAAAATTTAAAGGTGATCAGGGGAAAGGTTTTTTTTTTTTTGGGAACCCCGGGTGGGAAAAAATAAAAATTAAAATATAAGTTTTTTGTTTCAAAAATTTATTAAGTTCCACAAAACTATAAAATGAAAAAGGGGGGAAATAGAATTTTTTAAGGAAAAAAAATATTCCCTTTTAAATCTTTTACAAAGGGGAACCCCTTTTTTTTCCTAGGGCCCAAAGAGTAAATTTTAGATAAAAAAAACCCAACCCTTAATTTTTAAACCAAAAAATTTCACAAAAAGGCTGGAAAGCAAAAGGAATCAACCCAGGGGTGTTTGTTGTTTTAAACAAAATTTTTTGGTGGGTTGGATTAGTAAATTGCCGAATTCCCAAAATTTTAGAAACTTTTAGAGGGGTGAGTTTTGGCTTAAGGAAAATGCCCCAACCCGATTAAAAAATTAGATGTATATTTAGAGGGAACGTTTGGGGGCCCTAGGAAATTAAAAAGGAAAAAGGTTTTTTTCCTTTGGGGCTCCCACGGCAGCGGGGCCTTCTTTAGAGGTGGGGAGTTTTTAAACCCTTTTTACCCTCTTTGTTTTTGTGTAGCCGTAAATTTTTTTGGGTTTTTAGAAAAGGGGCCACTTAGTCCTAGTGAACAGCCTGGAAACCTAAAAATTTTTTGCGTAAACTTATAAAATTTAATGAGGGAGTTTGGGGGCCCGAAGGGGTGAAATTTTCCCAAAAAAGCTTGAAAACGCCGTTAAAAATTAAAAAAAAATTTATAATAAAAGTTTTTTTTTCCCTTATTTAAATTTTCCTTATATAATTTTTTTTTTTGTACAAATTTGGAAAAGGAGAATTTTAAAAAAACCAAACAGGGGAAAACCTTTATTTCTTTCTGATATTTAAAAAATAAACCTTGGTGAAATCAAAAAAATGTCCAAGGGTACCCCGCCCCCCCCTTTTTAAATGTATAATGGTCCCCACAAAATCCAACCAAACCAAATTTTTCAAAATTTACCTCAAATTTTTTTTTTTTAAAAAAGAATAAAAGGCGGAATTTTAAAAAAACCTGCATCAGAAACATCCTGTGGAAAATCACAAAACCAAAAATGTTGCCGTTTGTCTCACAACCTTAGATAAATTTAACGGACTCAACGTTCCCCTTACGCAAAATTTAAAGAAATTTAAAACTTAGCTAAGAAAAAAAACTGTTTCCTAACCCCTGAAACCCCTATGTAATTATTTAGGGGACGCTAAACCCTTTTGGGGCAACAACTCAAAAGGGAAATGGATTCAAGAAACAAGCCCCTTTTCCCCCAAATCCAGGAGCCCTCAATGGCCCCGGAACCCTTTTTTGAGGGTTTAAAACAACTTTTGGTTTCAACTTGTTAAAGCTGTTAAGGGGGGTTTTTGGGAAAGCCCTCGATTTCTTTTTTATCTCCCCGAATTTTCCCCTCTCCGGGTAAATTTTTCCCAAAAAAAATAAAAAACTTAAACAAAATTGGGGCTATGGGTTATAAATTTTTATTTTAAAGGAAAAATTTTAAGCCGGCCCCAAAGTAAACGGTAAATCCACACCGGCAAAAAAAAATTAAAAAAATTTTCATTTTTTTTTCTTTCCTTAATTTTAAAAATTAAACGAAAATTTTGCAATGCATTAAACTTATTTTTTTAAAAAAACAAATTTATTAATAAACTAAATAAAATAATTTTTTTTTTCGACCCCCTGTACAAAATATATTAAAACAAAGAGTTATTTTCCGCCCCTGGCACCCCACACTTGCCTAGCATGCCCCTGGCACCCCACACTTGCCTAGCATGCCCCTGGCACCCCACACTTGCCTAGCATGCCCCTGGCACCCCACACTTGCCTAGCATGCCCCTGGCACCCCACACTTGCCTAGCATGCCCCTGGCACCCCACACTTGCCTAGCATGCCCCCCACAACAAATATACTCTATTACTTGGTTCAAAACTCGCTTAATATCTTCAAAAATCTCTCTCCTTCTCTCCTCTGCACTCCTCTCTTATAACTATTCAACATATAGATGAAATAAGGCGGCGCTTCGATCCGTCCAGGACTATTATCAAGTCGATAAGTTCAGGGTAGATCGAAACGTTGTCTAGTTTCATTTCCAGTTTTTGGCTTATTTGTGACTTGTTCCAGCTACTTCTACCAACGCAGCTTTGGTACATAAATATATATGTATACTGCACAATGGTACAGCTTACATAGAAGCTACGACTTGAAGAAGTTTTAACTTGTAGAAACTGTGTCGAAAATTATATTTCAATCGATGTGTGTGCGCTGAGAAGAACACTGAATGTACAAGTGGAGGGTATATTCATCTCAGTATATAAACATTATCTCAGTTCACAGCAGGATTCGAACCTGCACACTCAGCATCAAAGTACGCAATATTTTATCCACTACGTACTTTGATGCTAAGTGCAGATTCGAATCCTACTGTGGACTGAGAGATAATGTTTGTAAATAATTTCGCCCGTTTGTAAACTGTTGATCATCTCAGTATATATATATATATATATTATATATATATATATATATATTATATATATATTATATATATATATATATATATAGTTATAGCTTCTTCAAGTCGTAGCTTCTATGTAAGCTGTACCATTGTACAGTATACATATATATTTATGTACCCAAGCTGGGTTGGTAGAAGTAGAATGTTTATACAGCCACGATGAAAAATCTCAATATTTCTCCTTGAAGTCATTTTTACTTAATTTACCTCGGCTGAGAGTCTACATATTTGTACCATGAGGTGGACCCGCCATTTATATGTATGTATATATAGATACACACACACACACACATATATATACATATATACATACAAACATTATTTCTACGTACATAGCAGGACTGGAACCTGCAAACTCGGCATCAGACCCCAGGTCTGTTTGCGAATTGTTAATCACACACCATAATTGTTGCGGTTGTGTACATCACGGAGCCTTAGATAAATTAGACCGTTACAAACAAAACGTTCTTGACGAACTTTGACAGGACAGGATGCAGCTTCCAGCGCTCAGAGGATGCTGCTCCCTGAACCAGCATTAGAAACAGTATTATATGATTATATTTAGAGGGAAGCGCTAAACCCCTAGGGGTCATACAACTCCCGGGGAATGAATTCTAAGAAAGCAGAGAAGTCTTGTTCCTTATATCAGGAGCTCCTCACTGGCAGCGAGGAACCTTCTTTGAGAGGGTGGAGACGATACTCTCCCAGCCTTGTTACCGTCCTGTTCAAGGTTTTTGTGCCTCAGCCGGTCCAAGATTATCTTGTTCTTGCCAGAATTAGGTCCACTCCTCCAAGGTCGTCTCATCTGCTCGAACAGCCATGAGAACCGTAACAATTTTGACGTATAACTTATAATTATTTATATTGCCAGGGGATGTTTGAGAGCGCCTAGTAAGGGCGGCTGAAATACCACAAACCAGGCAAAAAAAAACTATGAAAACGCATTTTTCTCTGTCCCTATAAAAATTAAACGAACAATTTATGCAATGCATAACGATTTTGATTAACATTTAATTTTATTAACCTTAGTAATAATTTTTTTTCGACGTTTCTGTACGAGAATATTCTAAGGACAAGAGGAGAGACTCTATTAATAAATCCAAGCAGGGAATACACCTGGTTAGTTCTCTTGGGGCTGTACTAGTCTTCACAAAAACTGGCAACCAGTTAGGGATAAGAAGCATCAGAGGAGCAAGAGGTGTGGCCAAGGGGTCACACCACGCCCTCACACCAGCATATATAATGGTAGGTAACTGGAGCAGTGGTCACTTGAAGAATCTTCAACCATGGTGACTTGGGCTGTGATAGTGAGTATCTCGAAGGCTATTGTATCCTGGCTTATTTTATATTTTTTTTTTTATATATTAATAACGAATAAAAGTCGCGATATTGTGAAAATCACAATGCTATGACAAGTGAAACATCATAGCTGGAACAATTCACAAATAAGCCAAAAACTGGAAATGAAACTAGACAACGTTTCGATCTACCCTGAACTTATCGACTTGATAATAATTCTGGACGGATCGAAGCGTCGCCTTATTTCGTCTATATGTTGAATAGTTATGATATTTAAAGCTTAGCAAATAATGATAAAAAAATTCTGAATATTATCATCTAATCGCTACGCAATGCCCATATGATCACATTTATCTTTATGGGGAGCGCTAAACCCGTGGTAAGGATCACACAGCGACTGCGAAACGGAAAGTGCGATTCAAGGAATCACGAGCCCTTCACCGGCAGCAAGACTCCTAGTGAAGGGACGCTCAGATGAGTCCCGTGAACCCAGTATTTTTGTACGTGCATAATACAACGTGTTGGTGATGTTTTCAACAATTGTTTATAAGGCTGATGGTAATGGGGGTTTAAAGGGTAAGTGGTGTTTAGAGCCTCTCGATTACATTTGTGTTATTAAGGCTACACGTAACCTTTTCACTGCATGACCTGAATAATTTAATCCCAAAAATAAGGATTAAAGTAAGCTGTCAAATCATATACGCTGATAGACATACTCGCAGGTGTAGCTCAGTTTGTGCTTACGCTTAAAGGTAAAGTTATTTAAGTTCCGTGCACCAACACTGTAAATCGATGTAGAACTCACGAGGCTGACCGGCGACTAAGAAAACACTCTTCAAACCCGGATGAAGTTAGAAATCAGTGGGTTGTTTAACATAAATCTCATTGAATGTATACATTAGATCCATATATATTTCGAAAGTTATGTTACCGAACATCATGCATTAATTACATGTATTTTTTCTCGAATTATTAAACTAAAGTTGCAGTGTAAGTAAATCAGAGTAGAGTCAAAAGACTGGAATGTCTGATAATAATATCACTAGATAGTCGCACCACCACCTGTTACAACAATTATAGTTACAGGAACAAAGAGTTATGCTGTTGGTGTCCCCTTCTCAATGTACAATGAAAATAAGTCACTCTGTCTGACTTTTTTGGGTTATCCCAGGTTCTCTACACATATGCTGCTATGTATGACAATTCTATGTAACTGTATTTGTGTATACCTGAATAAACTTACTTACTTACTTACTAGTGGTTATAGCACGTGCTTCCTCGTCTGAGTTCATTCCAACAGTTTCAATCATTTTATAAAACAATTTCTTGTAAATACCTTGGCATTACTTTTTTTTAGTTAACAGTTGTAGCGTCGTGTTCTTCCTGTTGATGGTGCTAAGAAATCTGCCGTTCCTACCTTCTAAAATACTTTTTTGAAGTTGAATGCGGTTATCACGTATCCTATTTTTTTTTTTAGCAGTCAACGATGACCTTTTCAATCTTTGTAATTAATATTTTGTAGATCTGCAAGGAATTTTGTACCATGTCTCTGAACTTTGTATATCTGGGGTTTTTTTTTTTTAATGTGAGGACACTAATACAGTTGTGTATACCAGTTCTGGTCTAATTTGTGTTATCATTATTTCTTCAGCATTTCACCATACACATATCTGAAGGCTATTCTGAGGTTGAGGTTTGCCTGCTTAATAACGACGACGACGATGATGATGATGATGATAGCGAAATATTTGACTTAGAGTGGGAGTAATTCTTAATGAGGTCAGATACATGGTATTGATATTGAAACAATAACTCTGGACACATTATAAATAAAAGTTGTTACATAAATGAGGCATTAATACTGACATATAAACCGAGAGGTGTATTTATCTTATTGTATATATGCCGAGAGTTCAATCGCTATTTTAGGGATAAAGTATTCTTGTCTGGTGGAGGAGTTAAGTGCAGCCTTAATGACCCTAGTATAGTCCATAGGCTTTAAGATAAAATTTTGTTTGGATTTTTAACTCCGGAGGGTTAACCACCCAGGATAACCCAAGAAAGTCAGTGTATCATCGATGGACTGACTATCTTATTTCCATTGGGGTCCAAATCTTGTCCCCCAGGATGCGACCCACACCAGTCGACTAACACCCAGGTACCTACTAGCTTGCTAGGTGAATGAGACACCAGGTGTAAGGAAACACGCCCAATGTTTCCACCCTTGCCTGGAATCGAACCACAGCGTGTGAAGCGAGAGCGTTGCCTAACAGGCCACGGGCCACCCCTTTAATCAATCAACCTTTAATAAAAAATAGTTTAAGTGCGCATAACTAAGCTTCCAACACCCTACACATTAAAATTAGATTTGTCTCACTTCGCTGACCATTGACGCTGAGTGCAGTGTTAGCCTATGTAGTAAGCGGCACATGAAATATCTCCTTGAAAATTCCAGTCATTTAAAAATTTTTGCGGAAACAAACCCTTCGAGGAGGAACATGGGGATTGTGGCCTGGCACTCTTGAGGGGCACGTGATACAAGGAAGATGAACAACCCCTCTACTTACATCAAGCCTGAGAAACCCGTTCTCCCTCCTTCCTCAGGCGTAGTAAGGCTACCCCTCCCCTACGGATGTAAGGCTTCCCCTTCAATATAAGAATGTGAAAATTGTGAATGTCACTGACAAAAACTTAGCTTCAGTATGTTATTGTGACAGACACGCCGCTAACCATCAGCACCACTAACCAGTCAACAGCACCATTAACCATCAGCACCCGTAACCAATCAACAATACTAACCATCACTACTAACCATGAGTACCACTAACCATCAGCACCACTAACCTTCAGCACCACTAACCATCGGTTGAGCACTACTACTATTACTACTACTACTACTAATAATAATAATAATAATACAAAAGCCTTCAAGTGGATATTTTTATTTAATCGAAGAGTTACCTATGGAAGTTTTCATTGTTCACTTACATAATTAATGTATTGTCTTGTGGGATGAGTTGGAACTACACCCAGCAGCAGCCTGGACAGGAGTATGTAGTCTTCCTTTGTAAGCTGTCTGGCAGAAGTATACATGAGGAAAAATAAGCAGAAATTTGGATAAGGGTGCAGATCAAAGCAAAAATCAAATTATAGCAGACAAGAATAATAATATCTTTATTTCCACATGTACAAGGTATACAGGCCTAGCTTGTTATCAGTGACATACTACTATATAGAAAGCCAATTCGTATACCTGAGCATTTCGGGCAAATTAGATTAGTTTTGTTCCAGGATGCGACCCACACCAATCGACTAACACCCAGGTACCCATTTTATACCGATATTTTCCAGCCGTACCGGAGATTCGAACTCCGGACCTGAGTGTGAGGTGAGTACGCTAGCAATCGAGCTACGGGACACCCACCCCGTCCCAGTGGTTAATGAGGTTTGAAGCTTATCGACTACACGAGGGTTATTAATTAAGGTTGCACGTAACCTGTTCACCGTCAGTCAAGAGTACTTGAATCACTAAAATAGGGATTAAAGTACTCCCAGCATATATACAGTGAGAGATATACACTTCGCGGTGTATATATTTCGCGTCTCGTCAGAATAAAAACATTCTTCTGCAACGTACCTCTTCCGTAATGTTCTCTACAGCAAGGCTATCAGAATTTATTATTCTATTTATTTTAAGTTTTTAAGAGTCAAACCCCATAACGATTCACTTGATAAAGTGAAAGTAACTTTGTTTACTGAACGAAAACAAATTTGTCAGTTATTACAAAAACGTTAGACATATATGAATATATTTACTTTTAAGAGTCACTTCCTATCTCTGGTATCAACAAGTAATTTCATGAGCAACAATTAAATTATTGAAATAAGAAACAAATAAAAAGAATCTGAAATATTTATCACTCATAAGATTTAAATTTAATAAACGTGGGATTAATATAGTAAACTGATGGGTTCAATAGTTAATGTAGCTTAGTGATGGATTCTAGGACTATTTACATCAAAATAAATAATGAAGACACTAAATTTCAGTAATACTTTCAGGCAGTGTTGTCCATGACAACGGTGACAGCACAGAATCTACCATCATATACATCTCCAAATTCTGAGATCATAGGAAGGGAAAGCATCAGGTACAGCTTACTTCCTTCGGGTGGCGTGTTCAAGAAATTTGGTTCTGATAGAAGTTACTCCTTCAACTATGAAACACCGACCAGTTCTCGTTCTGAAGACGCCGATTCGAGCCTGAATGTCAAGGGGCGGTATAGCTTTACAGGTAATGATGGACGCACAAGAACTGTCAGTTATACGGCGGGTTCTGAAACTGGTTTCGTCGCCGAAGCTGATTTCTTGCCTGTTGCTCCAACAACTACAGCTTTATCAGCAGCTGCTCCTGCGGCAGCCGTCTTGTATTCCACCTTAGGGACGCAAGGTGAAGCTAAGGTCAGAAGTTCTTCTTCACCTGACGGAAGTTACTCTTTCGGTTATGAAGCACCAAGCAGCTCTCGCTCTGAAGACGCTGATTCTAACTTGAATGTTAAGGGACGTTATAGCTTCCAAGCTGATGATGGACGCACAAGAATCATCAATTACAGAGCGGGTTCTGGAACCGGTTTTATCGCTGAGGGTGACTTCCTACCTGTTGCTCCCGAGGCTTCAGTTGGATCAGCAGCTGCTCCAAACGCAGCCGTTTTATATTCAGTCGATGGAACACAAGGTGAAGCTAAGATTAGAAGTTCTTCTTCGCCTGATGGAAGTTACTCATTCAACTATGAAGCACCGAGCAGCTCTCGTTCTGAAGAAGCTGATTCTAGACTGAATGTCAAGGGCATGTATAGCTTCCAGGCTGATGATGGACGCAAGAGAACCATAAATTACAGAGCAGGTTCTGAAACTGGCTTCATCGCCGAAGGTGATTTGCCTGTTGCCCCAGAGGCTTCAGTTGGGTCTGCAGCTTCTCCAGAAGCAGCTGTTTTGTACTCAGTGGCTGAAACACCTGGCGAAGCTAAGATGAGAAGCTCTTCTTCACCTGATGGAAGTTACTCTTTCGGTTATGAAGCACCGAGCAGCTCTCGCTCTGAAGTTGCTGATTCTAGGCTAAATGTCAAGGGGAAGTACAGCTTCCAGGCTGATGATGGACAAACACGAACAATTAAATATCAAGCGGGTTCTGAAACTGGTTTTGTTGCCGAAGGTGATCTCTTGCCTGTTGCTCCGAAGGATTTTACTGGATCAGCAGCATTTCCTGGGGCAGCTGTTTTATATTCCACCTTAGGGACACAAGGTGAAGCTAAGGTCAGAAGTTCTTCTTCACCTGACGGAAGTTACTCTTTCGGTTATGAAGCACCAAGAAGCTCTCGCTCCGAAGATGCTGATTCTAGCCTAAACGTCAAGGGAAAATATAGCTTCCAAGCTGATGATGGACGCATAAGAACCATCAACTACAGAGCGGGTTCTGGAACCGGTTTCGTCGCTGAAGGTGACTTCCTGCCCGTTGCTCCCGAGGCTTCAGTTGAATCAGCAGCTGCTCCAGAGGCAGCCGTTTCATATTCACCTGCTGAGATACGAGGAAAAGCTCGAGCGAAGAGTATAGTTTCTAGAGATGGAAGTTACTCTTTCAATTATGAAGCACCAAGCAGCTCTCGCTCTGAAGACGCCGATTCTAATTTGAATGTTAAGGGACGTTATAGCTTCCAAGCTGATGATGGACGCACAAGAACCATCAATTACAGAGCGGGTTCTGGAACCGGTTTTATCGCTGAGGGTGACTTCCTGCCCGTTGCTCCCAAGGCTTCAGTTGGATTAGCAGCTGCTCCAGACGCAGCCGTTTTATATTCAATCGATGGAACACAAGGTGAAGCTAAGGTAAGAAGTTCTTCTTCACCTGACGGAAGTTACTCTTTCGGTTATGAAGCACCAAGAAGCTCTCGCTCCGAAGATGCTGATTCTAGTCTAAACGTCAAGGGAAAATATAGCTTCCAAGCTGATGATGGACGCACAAGAACCATCAATTACAGAGCGGGTTCTGGAACTGGTTTCATCGCTGAGGGTGACTTCCTGCCCGTTGCTCCCGAAGCTTCGGTCGGATCAGCAGCTGCTCCAGACGCAGCCGTTTTATATTCAGTTGATGGAACACAAGGTGAAGTTAAGGTTAGAAGTTCTTCTTCGCCTGATGGAAGTTACTCCTTCAACTATGAAGCACCGAGCAGTTCTCGCTCTGAAGAAGCTGATTCTAACCTGAACGTCAAGGGACGGTATAGCTTCCGTGCTGATGATGGACGTACAAGAACAATTAACTATAAAGCGGGATCTAAAATTGGTTTCATTGCCGAGGGTGACACTCTGCTGGTTGCTTCCTAGACATGTGCTGGATCTACAACTCTGTCAGAGGCAGATGTTTTGCTTCGTAATGGATACTGAAAAACTTACAAGGCTGGTGTCAGTATCGACTTTGTAACAAAGGGTAAAGATGAATGTCTCAGTTATTAAACTGGTTCCGTAAATATAAAATGTTTATCAAACTAGTCACTGGACAACACACAATTACTTCAAACAATGATTCTTGACTGTCTAATTAACCACATTCCTTGCTCTGAAGTTATTTTTCTGGTTTAACTTCTGGAGTCGAATTCTTTGAATATGCTTCATTTGGTTTATTAAAAAACTACATAGTGCTCAAAACCGAATACTATATACAGAGAGTAAATGTAATAATTAGCAGACTCGTATGTACTGACATAACATTAAATATAAGCATAATCAATTTTTATTATTTATCCATATATAACTGGGAAAGTTAAAGTGTAATGAACACTTCTCAATGACTGAGCACGCCCGACTATAAAACAAACATGAATGTTTACATGTATTTTCCGATCTGCAACTGAGATCATCTTCAGCAGATGAAACTGTATTTACCTGACAATCCGTGAAGAGCACTTGAAGACGACTTCACTTAAAAATCGAAATATACTGCTCCTCAAATTTCGTGTTTCTGTCTTCTATGGATTTACTAAAATGCATACATACAAATGCACACAAATACAGACACACATAAGAATGGTTTAGAAAGACACGTAAGCAAACACTATAACATATTTATTAGAAAACGTTTCGGTCCTGGGACCTTGATCACTTCTAACATACAGAGGTAGAAAGACATTATATATATAGGCGGAGGTTTATGTGTGGTATAGGTTTATACCACACATAAGAATGAATGAGCACTGCAGCAGGTCTACTGGAAATTAGACACATATACAACACCTGGGTATCTTTACTGTAGACGTTTCGCCATCCAGTGGTTTTATCAATACAAAGTCAAGGACATATTTGTAGATGAATGGTTCAGAGAACCGACATGTTGATAAATTAGACACATATGCAACTCTTGGGTATCTTTATTGAGGAAACGTTTCGCCACACAGTGGCTTCATCAGTCCATACAAAGGAAAATCTTGAAGAACAGGAGGAGAATGAGGTAATCAGTCCCTCAACCTTGAGTCGATGTGGTCAGTCCATCAATCTTGAATAGAATACGGCATACGTGCTGAGAAGGAGCTTATAAACCGTTGGCAGGAGAGGTGCAGAAGTCATAGGTCGTGTAACATTTGTTCAATGTTGAAGTAGGTCGTGCCCAAGAATTAGGCAAGCGAAGAATTCCCAAGTATTAAGATCCCAAGAAGTTGCAGTGTCTGACAGGTTTGTAGATGAATGGTTCAGAGAACCGACATGTTGATAAATTAGACACATATGCAACTCTTGGGTATCTTCAAGATTTTCCTTTGTATGGACTGATGAAGCCACTGTGTGGCGAAACGTTTCCTCAATAAAGATACCCAAGAGTTGCATATGTGTCTAATTTATCAACATGTCGGTTCTCTGAACCATTCATCTACAAACCTGTCAGACACTGCAACTTCTTGGGATCTTAATACTTGGGAATTCTTCGCTTGCCTAATTCTTGGGCACGACCTACTTCAACATTGAACAAATGTTACACGACCTATGACTTCTGCACCTCTCCTGCCAACGGTTTATAAGCTCCTTCTCAGCACGTATGCCGTATTCTATTCAAGATTGATGGACTGACCACATCGACTCAAGGTTGAGGGACTGATTACCTCATTCTCCTCCTGTTCTTCAAGATTTTCCTTTGTATGGACTGATGAAGCCACTGTGTGGCGAAACGTTTCCTCAATAAAGATACCCAAGAGTTGCATATGTGTCTAATTTGTCAAGGACATAATTGAAAGACAGTAGAATTATATACAAAAGATGAGGTAATCAGTCCCTCACCGTAGTCGATAAGAGTCTGCAGCACAGGCAAGAAGGTTGGCGCTTATAATATACTGGCGTCAGTGGTAATGGACGTGTAGCAGACGAAGACAGTCGTCACTGGTAGGCGGGATTCCCCAATGGAAGTAGGTTATACCCGAGGGACGGGTCAGTAGTAGTGAAGAACATTGCCGAGATGTCCTCTGAATCAAGATTCCATGAATTTGCTTCCCTACACAAACTTGACAGAAACTTCTGCAACACTGAATCCCTTCCTGCAAATGATGTCTCTCTTCAGTCAGCTTCACTGAATGACGGGAAATTAGCAAAAGTTTTCGTTGTAAATGTGAGTTATCCAAATGGGGATTTTTTGTGTGAAGGCTGACAACTTCTCCCTGGCGGTGATCATATTTATTCCAGTTTCGTATTCTCAGGGTTTTCTTTCCGTACCCCCCCGGGAGGAGGGGGGTACAGGTACTCAGGGTTAAGAACCAGTGATAAAATGACTGAACATGAACCACAAATATGGCTTGAAAAATGGTCAAGGAAGAATCGAAACGTCGTCTGAAGTTTCCTTTCCAAACTGTAGATTAATAATACAGCATTCCTGGCACTGACATAGATATACATTTTAGCACTATCATACAACACAGATAATGCTAGAGTGAGTGTCATCCACCAGTACTCATCATACCTCCAGATACAAATAAACCAGGTCTTCCAGTTGGTCAAATAAAACTATGGTTAATCGACATAAATTATATCAAGTATTTGAAGTCATTAAGTTTGCACGTCACTCGACCACAACCAGTTAAGAATACTCTCCTTTAAGATAAGGATTAAAGTAAAATCTCAGTGTATATACACTGAGATATACAGCTCTTGGTGTATACATCATTAATGGTGTATAAACCTCTTGGTGTATACGGCATTAACCACAAAAAAATTATGGTTAATGGCGTTTAAAGCCTACCAACTAGAGGGTCATTAAGGCTGCATGTCATCTATTCACCACTTGTCAAGAACACTTTGATCCCTAAAACAGGGATTAAGTAAACTCTCAGTGTATATACACTGAAAGACAAACACCTCTCCGTGTGTGTGTGTGTGTGTGTGTGTGTGTGTGTGTGTGTGTGTGTACCATTTTGTCCAAGGCACATGTCGATTAGACACTAGGCCTGTTGTAGGTGTGTGTGTGTGTGTGTGTGTGTGTGTGTGTGTGTGTGTGTACTCACCTATTTGTACTCACCTATTTGTGGTTGCAGGGGTCGAGTCCTAGCTCCTGGCCCCGCCTCTTCACCGGTTGCTACTAGGCCCTCTCTCTCCCCGCTCCATGAGCTTTATCAAACCTCGTCTTAAAACTGTGTATGGTTCCTGCCTCCACTACGTCATTTTCTAGGCTATTCCACTGCCTATGTGTGTGTGTGTGTGTGTGTGTGTGTGTGTGTGTGTGTGTGTGTGTGTGTGTGTGTGTGTGTTACCATTTTGTCCAAGGCACATGTCGATTAGACACTAGGCCTGTTGTAGGTGTGTGTGTGTGTGTGTGTGTGTCGAGGAGTCGAGTCCAAGCTCCTGGCCCCGCCTCTTCACTGGTCGCTACTAGGTCACTCTCCCTGAACCGTGAGCTCTATCATACCTCTCCTTAAAGCTATGTGTGTGTGTGTGTGTGTGTGTGTGTGTGAGTACTCACCCAGTTGTACTCACCTAGCTGTGGTTGCAGAGGTCGAGTAACAGCTCCTGGCCCCGCGTCTTCACTGGTCGCTACTAAGTCACTCTCCCTGCTCCATGAGCTTTATCATACCTCTTCTTAAAGCTATAAATGGATCCTGCCTCCACTACATCACTTACCAGACTATTTCGCTTCCTGACAACTCTGTGACTGAAGAAATACTTCCTAACATCCCTATGATTCATCTGAGTCTTCAACTTCCAACTATCACCCTTTGTGACTGCGTCTCATTTCTGGAACATCCTGTCTCTGTCCACCTTGTCGGTTCCTCTCAGTATTTTATATGTCGTTATCATACTCCCCCTTCCCCCTAACTCTCCTTACCTCCAGTGTCGTCAGGTCGATTTCCCTTAACCTCTCCTCTTAGGATATGCCCCTTAGCTCAGGGACTAGTCTTGTTGCAAACCTTTGCACTGTCTCTAATTTCCATACGTGCTTGGCTAGGTGTGGGTTCCGAACTGGTGCTGCATACTCCAATATAGGCCTAAGGTACACAGCGTACAGGGTCCTGAACTATTCCTTATTGAGATGTCGGAATGCTGTTCTTAGGTTTGCTAGGCGCCCGCATACTGCAGCAGTTATTTGATTGATGTGCGCTTCAGTTCAGGAGATGTGCCCGTTGTTATACTCACCCCAAGATCCTTTTCCTTGAGTGAGGTTTGTAGTCTCTGGCCCCCTAAACTGTACTCCGTCTGCGGTCTTCTTTGCTCTTCTCCAATCTTCATGACTTTGCACTTGATGGGGTTGAGCTCCAGAAGCCAGTTGCTGGACCAGGCCTGCAGCCTGTCCAGATCCCTTTGTAGTTCTGCCTGGTCCTCGTCGGATTGAATTCTTCTCATCAACTTCACATCATCTGCAAACAGGAATACTTCTGAGTCTATTCCTTCCGTCATGTCGTTCACAAATACCAGAAACAGCACCGGTTCTCGGACTGACCCTTTGAGGAACCCCGCTCGTCACAGGCGCCCACTCTGACACATTCTCCATGTACTATGATTCGCTGCTGTCTTCCTGACAGGTATTCCCTGATCCATTGCAGTGCCTTCTCTGTTATCCCTGCCTGGTCCTCCAGCTTTTGCACTAATCTCTTGTGTGGAATTGTGTCAAAGGCCTTCTTACAGTCCAAGAAAAGGCAATCTATCAACCCCTCTCTCGCTTGTTTTACTGCTGTCACCCTGTCACAGAACTCCAGTCGGTCTGTGATACAGGATTTCCCGTCCCTGAAAACCGTGCTGGTTGTCGCTGATAAGCTCATTCCTTTCTAGGTGCTCCACTACCCTTCTCCTGATACTCTTCTCCATGACTTTGCATACATGTCAGTAACACTGGTCTGTAGTTTAATGCTTCGTGT